GACAAATCCAAGGCCCAACTACCAGTGGAAAGAAAGAAATAAAGCAACCTCCAACACACCAGAGCCTCAGAAAGCAAGTGGTGATAATCAGATGGAAAAAAAAAAAGGATTCAAGTAAGCTCAAAAAATTTTTCTGAAATAAAAACATGAGTTTCAAACACACATGATTGGCTGGGCATGGTGGTGCATGCCTGTACTCCCTGCACTCAGGAGGCTGAGGCAGGAGGATCTTTGTGAGTTTGAGACCAGCCTGGGCTGCAAAATGAGTTCAAGACCAGTCTAAACTGCCTAGTGAGACCCTGTCTCAAAAAGAAAAAAAAATACAAACATCAAACATACATGATTTAGGACATAAACAGAAGGAGAATCTCATTGCTTTTGAAGCACAGATTCTTTGTTTGCCTGTATCTGGTTGTTAATTCAAATGATCAGTTTTTTTCGATCAGTCCTCACTCTTTTAAAATAATTTATGAATTTCCAAATTGATATATTTAAATGGAAAAGAAAGCTATCTGTGAGAATAATCTCTCATGAACTTCTATTCTTCCTTAACATACGTGGCTATGTCCCATCCAGGGCTCTGGTCCTCTCCTCCGATGACGTGGTCGGTAGAAGCAGGAAGGCACAAGCTCCTTGTCATTAGGATGCATCTGTCCTTCGGTCTCTCTCTCACTCTCAGCTGTGGCCTGTGGGTGTGGTGTTTGAAATGGAACAGGAAAACTCTAAGGCCAGGCAGCTTGGCTCTATAACTGCTCTATCTAAAGAGGTAGGTTATGGCACAAACTAAATCCTTCATCCTTTAGGCCTCCAAATCTTAGAAATGTAGAAGCCCCCTTTGCTTTCAGAATCACATACAGGCTCTATCCTGAGTTTCCAAATCTTAATTAGAAGCTCAATAGCCAGTCCTTAGTTTCTTTGTTTTCTGACTCTTGTGGTTCCTTAACATCAAGGTAAAAGGGCCTATCTGTCCTGGGGACATCTGCCAGGAGACACAGGACCCTTCCGAAGCAAGTCCCACCACAGTAGGTAACCATCAACAGTCAGACATAACTTTGTAACAGTTAACAACCTGAGTAATCTGTCCACTACTAGCTTTCTCAGCCTTATCATTTACTGTCTTCCTTCCCTTGCTCTTTACCCAAGCCCTCCTGCCCACTCACCATGTATCCTGTGCTCTTGCTGGTCAGGCCATATTCTCATGCCTCCTTTCTTTGCCAATGACGTTTGTGTCTAGAATGTTCTTCCACCCCCTTATGCCCTCCCCTGCCAGAAGCTTACTTAACCCTTTAAGGCTTGGCCCCAACATCTTAGTCCATGCCCACGGTAGGTTTTTCCTCTATGTCTTGAGCCTTAGTCCATGCCCATGGTAGGTTTTTCCTCTATGTCTTGCCAACAGGAAGTCCTTGCCGTTAAAGAAAAGGACACACATCATATAACTTTATGACCAACTGTGGGTCTCCCGCAACTAGCAGTGAGCCAGTAAGCAGATGGAGCCTTGTCTTAGGCAGCTTTGAATCCCTAGTGCGTGCATAAGCATGCTGCTCAGTACATAGGAAGCCTTCTAATAAATAATGAATACTTAAGTAAATTGAACAGTATATGGGCAAAATGGAGGGGAAATCTGCAGGAGGAACACATTTGGGTAAGGGAAAGGCAATAATGTAATTGATTTTATAAACATTAAGTTAGGACACTAAATGCCCCCCTATGGGACATTCAGGTAGAGACTGTCATCTAAATTAACCCTGACACTCCTGAATCCCCAGCCCTGCTACCTGCGTCTTCCAATGACGCTAACTGGATCTGTTCCAGCTTGGGACTTACTCAGTTATTTTGTGGTGAGAAAAAGATAACCACACTTAAATGGGGAAATTAAGGTGGGGGTTAATGTTAAGGGAAAATAACAGGAATATTGAAGCACTCAGGAATTAGCAATACCTTTCTGAGAGCTACAAGGGCAAAGAGCAGTTACTGGAATTTTCGGGAGTGGAGTTGGAGATGTGGTCCTAGCTGCCACTGTAAGAGAAGCTGTGACCTTTGCTGGAGGGAGGTAGCCATGGTCAGCTGAAGCCACACAGAGGAAGCTGGAGGGATAAATGTCATGCCCTTCTTGCCTACCTATCTTCAAACGGCTGCTGGCACTTGGCACTGGCCTACCCAATGGAAAATCAGCGGGCAGGAGGACCTGTTTAACACTGTCCATAAAGATCAACCCGTGGGGCCTCGAGTAGGTGGGAAAAAATGACCTAGATGACCCAGTACAGAGGCTTCTTAAATCCCATCTCCTAGCTGCTTTGCCTTTAGTGGAGTGTGACTTTTGAGCCAATGCCTTAAAGATCCCAGGGTTCCCTGGGCTTGGTGGTACAAGCCTGTAATCCTAGCACTTTGGAGACTGAGGCAGGAAGATTATATGTTCAAGCCAGTGTGAGCAACTTCGTGACTTAGTAAGACCCTGTCTCAAAGCAAACAAACAAATAAACAGATAAATAAATAAATAACTTCCGGGGGATGTAGGTTAACGAGAAGACCCGGGTTCAATAATCCCCTGTGCCGGGGGGGGGGGGAGGGGAACAAAGTTCCAGGACTCAGGCTGGACAGGCCAAGGTGGTCATTTAGCTAACACAAAAAACTAAAGAGAGTGGATTGGAATCCAGCAGGGCAGCCAGAGGCCAGAGCTGGATGGAGAAGCCAGACCTGGCAGGAGTCAAGGAGTGAGTTGTTTGAGGGCTGGGCCGGGGATGGAGCAGAGGAAGAGGGCGGGCATAGGCTTAAAGCCGAGGCCTTTGGTGGGGGTGGCTGGCTGAGGAAGCGCCACACCTTTCTAGGTGCTGGCATAGCAGCAGGGGAGCGGAGGCACAGCCTGCTGAGTCACGCCAGGCCACACCCTGCACAACTTTTGCAGACGGTTTTCAGGCACCAGGGAAACCTCTGCGTCTCTACCCATTCCTGAACCTCCCTCCTTCAGTGCTTTGTCATTCCACTGGTTTCCACTCTACGTGGAAATGAGCACAAGCGTAGTGAGTCTGAAGAACTCACACTGCCTCAGTCCTTTCTCGCTTCTGTCTTCTCCTTGGCTGGGGTATCAGAATCCTCGACAAAATGCTGAAGGGTTGCTGCTTCCTGTTCTCCCGCACACTTCCCATGCAGAGCTGTGGAGTTGGGCTTCTTTGTGCTGACATGTGCTCCAGAGCTAACGGATCATCCTTGAAGGCGATTTTTCTGTCTGGGCATTGGATTGTTGCTGTTGTTGTTGGTTTTTTTTGAGAGATATGTGACTAAGAACCCCACCTTCTTGGAGCTCTTTCCTTTCCTGTCGGTGACCCAGCGCTCTCCTACATCCCTGCATGTATTTTCCGTATTCCCTAATTCTTCTCCGGTAACCACGCACAGGGTCCTTTCTGGGAAATGGACTTCCTGGAATCCAAGTTCAACCCCTTCCTGTCTGTGCAGTGCTGGATGAAGTCCCTGGACCCAGCAGAACCTGGGTTTCATCATCTGTGGGGTGGGTGTGTGCACGGTTGTTGCCCCTTCAGGTTGCATGGGAGTCCGTGCCAGGGTGACTGTGAGTACTCCGTGGGCCGCTTGGCTGGTCACAAGGGCTTGGAGTGTGCTGCGAACGAGTCGCTTTATCGCCCTCTTCTGGTCTCTAATATATTTTCTTCCACCAAGCACGGCTATGCGGTGTGATCATAAAATACAGTGAACGTTTAGTACCGTACAAACACATTACCGTTAATATTCCTCCTTGCTTTCAACACACCTACCCCATGGCCCTTGCCACTTCTGAAGCAGTTCAGGGTCTTTAGTTGCACTGTCGTGGCTGCCTCCATATCCTGAATCAGTTCCACACGTTTCCCTTTCATGGTCGTTTTTACTTTGAGAAGAACCAGATGTCGCACAGCGCTAGATCTGGTGAATAAGGCAGATGAGGACACACCGTAACGTTTTTACAAGCCCGCCTTTCTGCTGGGTGGCGCCCAGCAGATGCGTTCACTGTATTTTTCATCCTACCTCGTAAAGACATGAAAGAGGATTTCTAGAACTGCTTCAGGAAGTGGCAGGAACAATAGGACAAGTGTGTTTGCAGCAAGAGGAGTATTTTGAGAGGATTAATGGCAATGTGGCTTTTACTGTAATAAATCATTTTTATTTAAGCACACCATAGTTTTTGATCAGCCCTGTGCACCTTTCCCTTGCTTTCCTGCTTTGTTGCTGATGTTTATATATCATTGCCTCCTCCAAATCCCCTTTCCGCCTTCACATATTAAAATCCTTCTACTTCTTTAAGACCTCACTTAGGTGTTACCTTTGCCATGAAGCCCTTGCGGGTCACTCCAGGGTGATTTCTTCTCCTTTGAAGTCTCACAGCCTCTTGCTCATTCTTCTTGTATTATTATAATTATTTAATTATATTTTAATTGTACTATAATTATTTAATCCTGTAATTTGTTCTTCCTTAAAAAGCATAACACTGGGTTTCACAAACATATCCCTTACTTTTCTACTGTAAATTTTTAGTTTAATAGTAGCCGGCTGTGTGTCTTAGTACTTTTACCTGAGGGGTACAGGAAGCCATCTTTGTGTTTATCCACTCGGTATGATGAAAGACAGGGTGTGTGCCTGTGTGTGAAATCTCAAACCAGGATTTTCACCAACATTATGCTCTGTTGAACAGATTTGGCATATGTTTATGAGCATCACAGAGAGCTCACCTACACCACTCTAGGATTTATTTTTTTTTAAAGTTTTCTTTTGCTTTTTCTGATAGAAATAACCCAGTTCAGTGTAGTGGTACATGAAAAACCAGATTTGAAAGTTTTGGAGGAGGTCAAAGGTGAATCATCAGGGGCTGGGGAGATAGCTCAGTGGTATAGCACCTACCTGGCAAGCATGAGGTCCTGAGTTCAAGTCCCAGACCAAAAAAAAAGTGAATCATCAGATTACTCATGCGTGGATAATGAAGGTGATCCATTGTGGTAAAATATGTGCTATCATTACAGAAGAGTGGTGTGAGTGGATGATGATGATAATGATTTTGATGTTGGCCATGTAAGCCAAAGTTCCTGTGATAGTGAAATGGAGCAAGAATTGACTACTACAGGCACAGAGAATACAGAGCTCCTTGATACGGATGATGAAGAAAACAGCAATGTGAGTACATATTTGACTAGTCTAAATGTTGTGAAATGGTCATGAAACCAAATAGAATAATCCAATATTAGAAAATATAGTCCAACAATATAGTGAGAGTCTTGGCAGGGGTGAAATGTATTGGACAGAACCCCGGCGCTGCCATTCAGTGTTGGAAATTGTAACAGATCAAATGCTACAAGATGCTGTGAGTATGCAAAGGCTGAAATATAACTAAAATGTTCTGTTGCACCAGTAGCCATATTTTAAAAATGTATTTATTATGACACCACAAGAGCTGAACTGAAAGGTCTGCTGTAATTAGCAGGGATTTCTCATGGTAATCACAGGGATGTAAAAGGATGGAAAAGCCATGAGTCAAAATATGGCACAAAAATGTATGCCCTTGTTGATGCAAAGACTAATTATGCTTTCAATTTAGAAATTTATCCTGGAACTCAGCCATCAGGTCCTTATTAATATAATAGTAAACCAAATGATGTTGTGAAGAGACTTGTTGCTCCCATTTCCCAAACTAATAGAAATGTGACATTCGACAATTGGTTTACAGGTTTCCGACTGATGTTACATTTGCTAACAAGTTGACCAGCACAGGAACTGTACACAGGAACAAAGCAGAAATGCCAAATGAAATGTTGCAGTTTCAAAACAGAGAACGGTATAGTACAATCTTTGGGTTTCAGAAAGATTTACATTGGCCTCATATATAGCAAAGAAAAACAAACTGGTACTGCTGATGTCAACATTGCACCATGATGGAAATATTGATAGGCAAACCTGTGTTATAGTTGATACACTGTGTCAACTTGGGGAGTCTAGAGGTATGCATAAGTGACTCAGCAGTTCTGCATCTTGGGGTAAGAAGGACATACCCTTACCCTTTTGGGATGTTGTTTATTGTGTCAATTTGAGAAGTTTAACTATGTGACTCAGGAGGGAACCAGGGTTTCTATTCATTCTGAGCCTGTGCAAGAAGAGGGCATGGAGATTATGTGCGTGCTACACGCCCCCTGGGTGGGGGTAGCCTGCTTCCAATATAAGGGAGGGAAAGAGACTTGCTCTCTCTGCCACTCCCCTCTTTTGCTCTTGTTGCTTTGCTACCTTCACTGCCACAACCATGTGCCCTTTGCCATGTGCCACTGTGCCTTGGAGCCAGCCAAGTATGGACTGAAACCTCCACAAACTGTAACCTAAATAAACCGTTTCTTCCTTAATTTTGGGTGTTGGGTATTTTGTCTCAGCAATGACAGAAAAGTAACCAAGACACCTCGACAAAACAGAAGCCTGAGGTGGAAACTTTCTACAAGACCAGATATTGTCAATGAGTTATGCAGCAACTATGATGTCACTCAAAATGCAAAGCACTGGACAATGGTTGTATTTTACTCCATCCTAAACATGTGTGGCTATTTTGATAGCCTATAAAGAAAATAACAAGTGAAAAATACAATGGAGAAATTTTCATAGGGAATTGGGACTGGAACTCGTAAGAAGGCATTTACAGCAGAGGAAAAATGAAATGTTTCTGCCCAGGGAACTACACAAATAATTGTGGAGCACACTAGTGAGCTGACAGGTGAACAGGTAGGCAAAACATCCCAAGCACCTATTATGACAATAAGAAAACCAGAAAGATGTTAACTGTGCTGTATAAGAAAGGACAGGAAAGCAAAACATGTGCTATGAGTGTAAGTGACACATGTATGGAATATGCAATTTTCATGCATGAAGAATGCCTTGGGTGTGACGGTTGAAACAAAGATGATTTTTGTTGTAGAGTTCTATAGGTATTTTCATTGTAGTTCACATAGATTTTCTGACATTATCTCTTAGTTGTTTTTTTTTTTTTTTTTCTGGTACTGGAAATCGAACTCACGACCTTGCACTTGTGGGTCAGGTGCCGTGCCACTGAGCTAAATCCCCAGCCCCCTCTCTTAGGTTCTGTAAGCAAATAAACAGCTGATGTGAAAATATTGATGTCTATTCTAAGCACTCACTATACATTTGATATTTTATTTTATTGATATCTTATTTCCCTGATAAGTGCATGTTGTACAATGTAGTAGGAAGCTCCTGACAAAGCAGGAAGAGAAGAGAGATGACAAGAATGGCCTGCCACATAGGAAAGGAAAGCTGAGCACATGTGCTGTCAGTGAAAGCAGCACATGTGCATGGAACATGAAGTTGTAATGTATGAAGACTGCCTGGGGTGTGACAGTTGAAGCAAAGATTATTTCTGTGGTAGAGCTTTGTTTGTGATTATATTATAGCTCACATATGTTTTTATTCCTGATATTATTTCTTAGATTTTGCAAACAAGCACATAGCTGATATGAAAAATGTTGTTTATTCTAAATGTGTAATACATATTAAGAATATAATACTTTATTTTATTGACACTTTCTGTTCCCATTAACTACACATTACATAATGTAACAAGAACCTCCTGACAAAATAGCAAGACTAGCAAGATGTCAAGTATGTCCTACAAAAAGGCCAGGAAAGCAAAACACATGTGCTGTCAGTGTAAGTGATACGTATGTGCATATGGAATGTGCTGTTGTCATGTATGAAGACTGTTGTAGGTGTGATAATTGAAGTAAAGATTTTTTTTGTGTACTGCTATTGGTATTTTCATTGTAGTTCATATAGGCATTTATTTCTGTTGTGCTTTTTTAGACTTCGCACACCAAAAAGCAGATGTTTGAAATTTTTGATGCTTTTTTATAAACACTCAATAAATATTAAAAATGCAATACCTTATTTTTCTGATGCTTTTTCCTTAAGGCAGTCATTGTTTAATATAGTCAAACTCTTAAGATTAAAATTAATAATTAATAGAAATATTTTACAGAATAAATTGGGTTTGACACACCCATATCTATGAGACTTTATGACAAAAAAACGTGTTATGCTCTATGGCTAACAAGATTTTTAACTCCTCTGATGGAAAAAAAGAACACCTGGTCGATTTTGAATAGTGAGTACTCATGGATGGATAGATACACTGAAGAAACTTTAGGACCATGTATCCTAATCCAGTGAGGACAACACAGATTAAATTCAGTGACTTTGTGTTTACAATGTAGATGATCTCAAGAGAATTCAGAATAGCTCACTTAGATAATTCTGAAATAAAATTGCACGGGGGGG